CGCCTGCCACAACGCCTGGCTATGTTTTGGTTGCAGCCATCATTGTTTGGCGGGCCCGGGCTGGATTTGAACCCGCCACCTTAGGTGTATGTGGCTGGCACCTTAGCCGCTTGAGCCACAGGTGCTGAGCCTGTCTTCTTAATCTTAATGTAATAGTACAGCGGTTCTCAACCTGTGGGCCAAACTATATTAAAGGGCTGCATTTAGGAAGGTTGAGAACCACTGTTATAGTGGGTTATTATAGATCTTTATGATGTTAAGATGCTTTTATATTTTTGTGATAGATCTAACTTAGTTTGTCCATATCTGCTGTATTTGGTTCCCCAATATTTAACTGAGAGTTTTTGCATCTGTGTTAATGAATGAGACAGCCTGTAAGTCACACTCATCTGGCTTCTTAGGATGACCTGGTACAGCTTCCTTCCTCTCTTTTCCCTGGCAGAGTCTATATCTTTTCCCTGGCAGAGTCTATAAAGTTAGAACACATGTTCTTAATAACTTAGTAGAATTCACTTACAAAACTCGCTGTTTCTGCAGGGGCTATCCATTGGCTGCAGGCTACATGGGCCTCTCTGTGTGGTGCCTTCATGAAAGGGTCTCAGGCTAGAGTGCCATGGTGCCATCACAGCTAACAGCAACCTCAAATTCTTAGGCTCAAGAAATCCTCTTGCCTCAGCCTTCCAAGTAGCTGGGACTATAGGTGCCCATCACCATAGCTAGCTAGTTTTTCTATTTTTAGTAGAGAATATTTTTAATAGAGTCTCTTTTTAGGGACTTGCTGTTGCTGAGGCTGGTCTGGAACTCTTGAGCTCCAATGATCCACCTGCCTTGGCCTTCCAGAGTGCTGGGATTATAGGCATGAGCCTCTGCACCCAGTTGAGTGTGATGTGCTCAAGACTGTCCCACTGACATTGTTTTTGGTGGCCCTGGTCCTGTTTGGTGGCTTCCAGTGGCTCTGCCCTGTCATCTCCCTCTTGTCTCCATTGCCAACCTGCTTCCCTCCTGCATCCTGTAGTTGCTTCTTTTTTACACCCTTGGTCTCCTGTCTAAACTGTTTATTTTTACATGTTTTTTAAGGACTTCACATCCTTTGAGGCCTTGGAATGGGTGGGATTGCGACAGCTGCACAGCTGCTCTCAGGGTGTTTATTGGGCTGCTCTGTATTCCAGGGAGACCCTGGAGCGTGGCCTGGAGTTCTGCCAGCAGACCCAGCGGGTGGACGGCTCCTGGGAGGGGTGAGTGGGCCCTGCCTGGAAGAGACCTATGTGGGGGCAGGTGGTCTCTGCTCCACTTGCTCATTGTGTGATCCTGCTATACCAGAAGTTTCTAGAAGTTACCTGCCAGCCAGTGAACTTCTAGTGGACTTTATTCCTTTCCAAGTTCCTGGGCTTTACCTTGGTGGCAGCTGCTGGGCATTTGTAGAATGCAGTGGACCTGGTGTTCCTGTTTTCCTTCTGCCTGGGCTGTTTATATAGGCACTTGGTGTGTGGTCAGGGCTGGTGGGAGGAGCATGGGCTAGATGCACTTCAGTGGCCTTAATGCCTGAGGCAGTGGAGTTGGTGGCTGAAGCATGGAGAATGTGCAGATGCCCTGGCTCACGTGCTGCCATCCCTCAGCTCCTGGGGCGTGTGCTTTACCTATGGCACTTGGTTCGGCCTGGAGGCCTTTGCCTGCATGGGACAGACATACCAGGATGGGTGAGTATGGCAGCCAGCCCCACAGTGCTGGGGGTTCTTAGCAGAATGCTCTGCTGGGTTTGGTTTTAGGAATGTTTTTAAAGAGTGAGATGAGAGCAGCATTCCAGAGAATCTTGCAGGTTGAATGCAAATGCTCACTGGCTCCACAGCTCTCCGGAGCTTCTTGACCCATGCAATGGAGGAACATGCCCAGCTCCCATCCAGCAGGCAGGATGCTGGCTGCCAGGTCAGAAGGAAGGGTGGAGGCCTCAGGTCCATGGTCTCCAGCTGCTCTGCCCTGCCCTGTGGATACCAGTGGCCAGTCGCCATACTGGTCTGGGAGTTCCCCAATAGGTAGAGCCAGGCAGTCCTAGCTCTCTTTGGGTGTCACCAGATGCTGTTAGGCTGTCTGCAGCACAGACTGTCTTCCCAACAACTCCGAGAGGAAGACACGCCTGTCCACACTGCACCTGGAAATTCACATTCCCTGGTTCCATTGGTGGCCTTGGCCCGTGGGGTGGAGGGGGGTGGAGTGGCTGGCCCGCTGCCCTGCTGTGATGGGCCTCCTGTCTCCTATCTGCAGGACAGCCTGTGTGGAGGTCTCCCGGGCCTGTGACTTCCTGTTGTCGCGGCAGATGGAGGATGGTGGCTGGGGGGAGGACTTCGAGTCCTGTGAGCAGCGGCGCTATGTGCAGAGTGCCCAGTCGCAGATCCACAACACCTGCTGGGCGCTGCTGGGGCTGATGGCTGCCAGGTGGGGTTGCAAGCCTGAGCATGTGGGGGAGTCGGGGCTATCCCGCCCTCAGCTGCCACTCTGGGGACAGAGACCCCTTCAAGAGCTGTGTCCCAGGTTCCTGGGGAGGTAGGGGACCCTGCAGGGCCCTGTAGGGAGACCTCTTAGGAATGGACACCACCTCACCACCACCACCAGTGATGGTGTCAGTGGCAGAGCCAGGGAAGCAGGGCCCAGTGGGACCAGGGTGAGCTGGGCCATGGGAAGCAGCTGCCCTGGGGGTAACGGCACAGGTTTGTGCAGCTGCTCTGTGTCCCTCCTGCATGCATGGTGGTGCTGAGCTACATACATGCCAGGTGCACACACAGTGTACACAGGAACACACAGACAGGCATGTGCACACACGGGCCCCATGTGTACTCAAGTGTCCCAGTCCATGCTGTCTTCCTGGGTTTGCAGCCAGTTGGGGAAATATCTAAGACCCCCTTAAACCGAGGGCAGCTCAGCTTGAGCAGGAGCAGCAGAGTCTTGGGGGACCTCCAGGGCAGAACAGTTGGGGACCAGTAGGCAGCTGAGTCCTGCCAAGCCCTGGATCTGCCTGGCATCTCACTCTGGCTAAGCATCAACTCTCATGGTTTCTATGGTGTCCAGAGGCCCATGAGGACCAGTGAGCAGGAGGGAGGCCCCTTGGATGGCCTATTTCCAGGCTCTACATCTTGCACCTCTTGGGGTGTCCGGGGAGGAAGCAGCCAGGACCTAAGGTGCCTCCATGGTGTTGGTGTGGGGTCACCCATCATTGCTGCAGTGTTCCAGCATCTGTCCATATGCTATTCTTGCCTGTGTTCCTGGCCTTACAGCCTATGCTTTCCCCCAGGCACCCCGACATCATGGCCCAGGAGAGGGGCATCAGGTGTCTGCTGGAGAAGCAGCTCCCCAATGGTGACTGGCCTCAGGTATGTTCTGGGAGCATGAGGCCCTTAGCTGCCCTGGGTCTGCAGGGCATTTTCACATCCCCATCCCGTATCTTTCTTGGAGGACACTGGCTGTTTGTGTGGTGTTTGCTGGCAGAGCTGGTGGTATGTCTGTGGCAGTTGCCCAGGTCCTGAGCAGATGTTGCTGATTGCAAATGATGCTCTGGCTGGAGCATAAGCAGGAGGTGACCCTTGGCTGATGCAGCCCTCCCTGGCAGGGCTCATGGGTCACATGAGGCTGACTGACCACCCTCCCCTTGGGTGAAGCTGGGGGCTGCAGCCTGAGGGGCTGGTGATCCAGGTCAATGGTTTGCTGTAGATGAGGGTACTGAGAAGGGCTGAGGGGTAACATGCTCGTGGCTTTCTTATGTTCTTCTGTAATTACCCCTAAGGCTGATTCCCTTACCTGCTGGTACAATGCAGAGGTGGGCCTTTGTATTTTTCTCTCCCTGTGTTCTTTTAGGAAAACATCTCCGGGGTCTTTAACAAGTCTTGTGCCATTTCCTACACGAACTACAAGAACATCTTCCCCATCTGGACGCTTGGCCGCTTCTCCCACATGTACCCCAAGAGTGCCCTGTCTGGCCACTCCTGAGGCATCTGCATGGGCAGTGGGGCTGCTGGGTAGTGGCATCACCAAGTTCCTGGTGAGGCCAAGCTGTCCTGGCTGGGTGGGGCTCCTGTGCACCTCTCTCCCAGGCTCCAGCCCCACCCTCCAGGTGGCAGGGTTAAGGTTAGGGTTGGGGGCAGGCGGCTTCAGACACCAGGTTCATTGAAGCTTCAGTTCTGAGAACAGCCTGTCAGGCTGGGCAGGGGAAGCACCAAGATGAAGCCTAGCCTGGGGACACACCATGTCTGGCACAGTCTTCCTAGGGAACAAGGGCAGGAGGGCCCCCATTCCCCACAGCTGAGCTATTAGTAGAGGAGCCAATGTCGTTCCTGCCTGGGCTGGCTGCTGCTCCTGTTTGTGGGGCTGAGGGACTGTACAACTGATGGCAGGCAGCCCTAGCCTCTCTCTCTGGACCACATCCAACCAGGCAGCCAAGGGCTATGTCAGGCTATGCCTGGAATGCTATAGTGCTCTCTCTGAGGCTCTGTGCCGTCTCTCATCCTCTGCCTGCTCTTGTGCCCCACCCCATGTGCTATCACTGGCTTCTACCTCAGAGCCTCTCCTGATACTGTCCCAGGTGGTCTCTTGCTCTCCTGAGCCCTTCAGGGCCTAGTCATACTGCATTTGTGGTTTGGGGTCTAGCAGGGGCCTTTGAGTGCCATTACTTTCCCATACATCTTGCTGCTAGGGTTTATTTGGCTAAAGGAAGGCATTGGGACCCTTGAGAGCTGCCCAGTTCGTTTGCACCCTCTTCCCAGCCCATGTGTCCCCCCCAACTGGGCTAGTGACAGGCTGGACAGTGACTACCAGAGTCCACCCCAAGCAGCAGCTCTTGTCCCTGGGATCCCCAGACACAACCCAATCACTGACCTGTTTTCCAGAAAGGAAACATAAATCTACTTTTATACTGAAAATGCTATTAAAAATCACTGACATGACCAGCTGCCTTAATAAACAAGACGTGATCCTGGACAGAAGCGTGTCCTGCTTGTGTTATTTGTGCTGAGTCTTCTGAGACTGCTCCAGTGTGGGGTCAGTAGGTGCCCACTGCACCTCCTGTTTCTGGAGGTGTGTGGTGTGCTCAGAGGTAAGATCCAGGCCATGTACAGTGACACCTGTCCTCACATGAAGAGCCTGAGTCATTTTCCTCCACAATGGCCTTCAAGAGGCACAGTGCCCCACCCATTCTCCTTTATCATGCTGAGGGATGGCTGACTCCCTGTCCCTGCCCTAGTCTTGTTTATAACCCAATTCCTTGTGTACAGAAAGCCTATCTTTACTGTTCCTTGAGAATAACTCTTGTTCAGAGTTGAGTCATGGTGCAGAAGAGTCTGTTTCTCCCAGGAGTGACCTCAGCCAGCACGTTTATCCCTGACTTGCTCTTGGCAAGGCTCCTGCCTAGAGCAGCAGACTTGCCTGTGGAGCCACACCAGGACAGGGGACCCTCAGTGTGGCTCAGGTAGCTTTTCTGTCCTAAGTCATTAAAGATCTGGAATCCAAGTTATTTTTGTTTATCAGGAACAGAGTTTGAATGTTCTGTAAGTTTTTCTGTGGAACCATACTAGATTTTCTTATGATGATGTAAACTTCAGATCCTTGATATTCTGGTGTTAATATCAAAGTAGACGTTAGGACAAGGACTAGTATCAGAAATAAGAGATATTTAATAATGATAAAATAATTTGTCAAGACAAAACAATCCTAAATGTATCATACCTGTCCTTCAGAATATAGGAAGCAGGACTGCAGCGAATTAGACAAATACACAGTCATAGGGAGACTTCCACACTTGACTAAGCAATGAGCAGTTGCTAGGTCTGTGAGGATACGGACGTGGACATTGTTGGCCAGCACAAGCTGATGGTGTTTACTTCACTTCCGATGTTTTCCTGGCCTCTTACGGGGGCAGACCACATGCCCAGTCACAGGAAGAGCCCAGGGGTTACAAAGTACCAAGATTGCAGAGTACTGTCTGACTGCAGTGAAGTTAAATCAATATCAGCAAAAGAAAGAGATTTGGAAAACCCAAATGTGGTAGTGAAACAACACACTTGCAGTGACCTGTTGAGGATAAGAGCAAGGAGAGTCGCAGACGGCTGATGCCGCCAACTTGGGGAGCTGCAAGGACTGAGAAAAGGCAGTAGGTTGGTAGAATAGGCCAGGAACCTCAAAGTAGACCCACATGAACATGAACGGCTGCCGTTTGATGAAGGAGTAGGGGTGTTCCATGGAAAAAGGATGGTCTTTTCAAGTGCTACTGAAGCACCAGGCATCCATATGCACAGCAGTGAGTTTGGACACTCCCACGCCTCCCAAACGTTAACTCAGAATGGATCACAGACCTGAATGTAAAGTGCAGGACTGTGGAACTCCTAGAACGTTGTGTAGGAGAAAACACAGGTCACCTTGGGTTTGGTGATGGTTGATATGACTCCATGGATTGCAACCTATGAAAGGAAAACAATAAGTTGTATTAATTTAAATTAAAAATTTCTGCTCTGCAAAAGACACTGTCAAGAAAATGAGGACGCAAGTCAGAGACTGGGAGAAAATGCATGGCTGATAAAAGACTTACCCAAAAGCACTCTTAAAACTCTACAGTAAGAAAAATGGTTAAAAAATGAGCCAAAGTTCTTAACAGACATGCCACAGATGTGCAGGCAGCAGACAAGCACATGAGAAGACACCTAGACCGCAGGTTGCCGGGGACATGAAGAAAAACAGCTGGACACTAACCCACCCACCAGTGGCCAGACTCTGCAGCAGTGACGCCCATGCTGGTGAGACACAGCAGGAATTCCCATGATGGTGGGAGTGCAGAGTGGCAGCTTCTCACAAAGTAAATATGGCCTTACTTTTTGATCCATCTATCTTCACTCCTGGGTTTTCCCCCAAAGGAGATAAGAGCTTTGCCTGCACATGGGAGTTGACTGTGTGTGTCTTTATAGCACTGGGCATCCTCCAGAGGCAGATGGATGGTGAACTGTGTGGAGGAAATGAGCTGTCAAGCCCCAAAAGAGTTGGAGGAAACTTAAGTGCACTTTATTAATACTGAATGGAAGAAGCCAATCTGAAAAGGCTGCCTCCATAGGATTTTAGCCACGACACTCTGGAGAAGGCATGGCTATGGAGGCAGTGGTGGTTGGAGGGATCGAGGGTAAACAGGTAGAGCACAGAGGAGTCTGCGCGGCAGCACTGCTCTGTGTGATGGTGTACCCGTGGACACATGTCACTGCATTCTTGTCTGGACCCACAGAACTCACAGCACTTGAGAGTGAGCCTGATGCAAACTAGGGGCTGTGGGGCGATGAGAGGTCCATCTGGGGTTGTCAGTTCTAATGGGTGTCCCCTCTGTGGGGCATGTTGTTGATGGGGAGGGCGGCGGTGTGTTGGGGTGGGGACTCTGCACCTTCCTCCAAACTTGCTGTTTTCTTTAAAAAAAGTCTTTAAATGAAAAGGATGAATGAGCAAGGGAAATTAGAAAACATTTCACACTGACTGGAAATAAAAATATGGCATCAAATTTGTGGACTGTAGCTAAACAAACTGTGATAAGAAAGGTTTAAAGTCAGGGGTCAGAGTTTCCCCCTTAAGAAGTTTAAAACCAAAGTAAGTGAAAGGAAGGAAATATAAGTGCAAAAGTCAAATACAATAAAACCAAAAATAGCGTAAATCAATGAATCTAAAAGTTGGTGCTTTGAAGAGATGAATGAGCTTGTAGTTTGATTAAGTAAAAAAGGAAACAACTTAGGTCTAGAGTAAAAAAAAGGTCACTGTAGACCTACAGACAGCAGCTTATCCAGCCCACTCTGCTGAGCTGCGGCTCCTGTCTGGCTGTCCCAGTTTGCTGTTGTGCTGCCCCGGCTGCCCTGCTGCTGTTCTGTCTGGGTCCTATTGTCCCTCTACCCTGCTTGGGTTCTGCTGGAGGCACCTAAGCATGTGCTTCACGTCCATTCCTGGTTCCTTCTGGTCTCTGTGATGGGACTATAGAGCAAGTAACAAGGGGATATTGCCAGCTCAGGGCCAGAGTTCTACAACCTAAGGAAATGGACAAATTTCTTTAAAGAAAATCATCAAAATGTACATGAGAACAATAGAAAAATTTTAAGAAATTGAATTAGATGGATATGATGACTGATTACCTGAGAAATAATTGATGAGATTTCAAGAAAAAAAAAAAAGAAATTGAATTAGAAATTTAAAACTTTCCTAGAAGAAATCTAGGCCCAGGTGGATTCACTGGTGAATTATATCAAATATTTGAGAAAGAATCTAACATGAATACCCAGAAACAGCAGGAACACCACAGCGCATTTTAATTTTTATTTATTTTTGAGACAGAGTCTCAGTTTTGTTGCCCTCAATAGAGCGCTATGACATCATAGCTCACAGCAACCTCAAACTCTTGGGCTCAAGCAATTCTCTTGCCTCAGCCTCCCAAGTAGCTGAAACCACAGGCACCCGCCACAACACCTGGCTATTTTTTAGAGTCAGGGGGTCTCACTCTTGCTCAGGCTGGTCTTGAACCTGTGAGCTCAGGCAATCCACCCACCTCGGCCTTCCAGAGTTGTGGGGGTTACAGGTGTGAGCCACTGCGCCCAAACCTGCAGCTCGTTTTAAAGGCCAGTGTGGCAAAACCAGACCAAGACCTTATAAGAAAAGGAGATGCAGATCAGTTTCCCTCAAGAACACAAAAGTACTTACCAACATATTAACAAATTGAATCCAAGGAAAGGAAGGTGTGTGGTCAGTGCTATCAGATGGGTCCTGGCTAGAGGGAATGTGGTGTCAAGAGGTTTCTTATGGTGAGAAGAAGACAGCACCTTAAACACAATTGAGAAGCCTGGGGATAGCAACTTGAGCACCCATTGGCCTCAGAGAGGGTGGGGGCATCAGTAGGGTGTCTCGCCAGACCTGTGTCCTGGAAGCCCATACACCCTGCTCGGTGGGCACTGAGTCCTGCTTCCCTGACCGAGGAGAAAGCCGTGGGTCCTGCTCCTAGGCTAGTCTCAGGTTTTGTAAGGTACATTCGGGATTTAGAAATCATTTTTCTCCACCCAGCCTAATTTGAGACTCCTGAAAAGAATGTCACACCACTTGGTTTTTAGGGCCCCTCCTGAGCCCTCACCCCCGTGCTCAGTCATCAGGCTAGAATGGTGGGTGGATAAAGACATGTTTGGACACAGCCCTTCCTGCGAGGAGGAGGAGGGGATGACCCTGCAGCTGTCTCCTGGTTGCTGACAGCACAAGCCCTACAGAGCCAAGGAGCAGTGCCGGGGGAGGTTTCACAGGCCGCACTGACTGAGGACTGACACCCATCCTGTAGCAGGTAAGTGTGCAGGTCTGCGCGTGGCTACTCCCCTCATCTGTTGGTTGGGAAGCCTCCAGTCAGGACAGTAGTGGCTTGCAGTTAGTGATGGCTGGTGTTTGAGACAATCAGTGCTCATAGTCTGTATGGTGGGCAGGCAGGGATGTAGCCAGCTGGTCACAGAAGCCACCAGCCATTCATTGGCCCCTCCTTCCTCAGATGTGGAACCCAGGGGCCTAGTGAACACCTGCACTCCAGACGCCACCCCAGGTACCCAGGACACAGCTGGCCGCCATCTGGCCCCAGAGAGTCCAGAAAGGCCCCAGGTCCACTGCTGGGTGGGCAAGCGCTAAGGGAAGGTGATGGCCTCCAGGACATTGGGGTGAAGGCGGAGTCCCCACTGAAGCCTGAGTGTTTTCAGGGTCTGTCTCACATGTCTGGGGCGTGTGCTCCATAGGCCCTGGCTTCTCAGCTGTGTAGTCCAGGGCAAGGGACTGGGTGCAGCCTGGGCAGCAATGCCCCTTTAAGGGCAGTGACATCACAAGGCGCGGAAGGCGGTGGGACTCCGCTGGGACTCCGCTGGGACTCCGTGGGACTCCGTGGGACTCCGTGGCCTCGGCTGTGTCTGTGGGGCTGTGGGCTCGGGGTTTCCACCTCCATGGGGCTGGGCCCGCCTGTAAGCACCTGAAGACACCATGGCGGAGGGCGGTGAGCTGATGAGCAGGCTGATGAGCGAGAACGCGGACCTAAAGAAGCAGGTGCGGCTTCTGAAGGAGAACCAGATGCTGCGGCGGCTGCTCAGTGAGAGCTGCCAGGAGAGCTGCAGCCGCGGCCGGGACCTGCTCCTGCCCAAGGCCCCCGCCTACCCCGAGGCCTGTTCCCCTGGGAGTGGAGGTGAGGACTGCCCCAGAGTGGGGAGGTGGCCTGCCCAAACAGGTGTCACTGGCACCCCCAGGTCTGAGTGAGCCAAGACCACCTGCCCTATCTGCTGTGCATCCTCAGGCACACTTCTGGTCAGCAGGGGTCCTGTGGGGGCCGCAGACAGACATAAGGAAAAGTCCCATGCAGGAGGGCAGCTCCTCAGGATGCCAGAGGCGGTGACCAGTGGCAGGCATGCTGGCCAGAGCTTTGTGCCTCTTCCATGCCACATCTGCTCACCACCACACACCAGAGCAAGCCCAGTGCTAGGGGCACTGCCTCAGAGGGAGGTCCTGCAATGTCGAGTCCAGACCAGCAGGTGGGCCCATTCCTTGGAGGGCCAGGGGGGCCCCAATCCTGCTCACCAGTGTCGACTCCAACCTGCTAGGGCTTTTTTACAGAGAACAATAAGGTTTGATCACTTTCTGCCAAAGTAGCTGTTTCTATTTTAAAGGTTTTGTGGAGCAATTTTCTTCTATGTATGTGATTTGGGGTGTGGTTTACAGTGTGACCCTCGGGGATGGAACACAGCCATCTGTGCTCACCAGTGCCCTGTGTACCCTGCTGTCTGCAAGTGCCTGTACCACTCCAGGAGGCCAGCTCAGCTGCTCACTGAGTGGACGCTCCAGGCCCTGAGCTTGGCATGGTCACTTCCTGGAGTCCATCTTGGACACCCACTACTGCCCTGAGAAACCTGCCTCCATGTACACACAGCATGCGAGAGCAGTACTTTCCACTTCCTAGCTGTGACCAGTCCATGGTGCCAAGACTGCTGGCATAGCACTGCAGCACCCTCAGTCTCTAGGGCCCTGATGAGGGTCTGGACAGGCACAGACCATATCATTGAAAGGACACAGGGTCCAGCCAGTAAGCCCCAGGACCTGTGTCCCCACCAACCACTAAGCTCCCCCACTCTTGCCACTGGACATTTGCTAGAAGGCATAGTGGTCATGGCTATGTGAAATCCTGCTGAGTGTTGGTCCAAGTTCATGGCTCAGAGCCCAAGTGTTGCCGTGGCTGCAAAGGGCACTTACTTATTTTCAAGTCTTGCTGGCACTAGGCAGCTACCAAAGGGCGCATCCCCTAGGAATTACACTGGGCCAGGCCTCAGGGCTCAGAGCTGACCATGTGGTCAGCTGCAGACAGAGTGCTGGGGGATCCCTTACTCAGTCCATGCTGTCCCTAAAGGGTCTGAGTTGGGCCCCCAGAAAGCCTGGAACTGCAGGACAAAGTCTCAGGGCAGGTCCAGCCACATCTGTTGGCTGGGAGGGCCAGCCACTCTGTGAGTAGTGCTTGGTGATGCTCTGGGCCTGAGCGAGCATGGGCTTGCGGGGAGGGCTTTCAGCCTGGCTCCATTCAGCCAGGGCACACCTTGGCCTTCAGTGTTGGAGTTTGGAAAACCAGTGCTGAGCTTGGCAAAAAAAAAAAAAAATGTCTATCTACAGAAGGACCACACAGCAGCGGTTCATGGGTTTCCAAGAGTCCCCTAGTGCCTGTGTTCAGTACAGGCTGCCCCCTTTAAAAGCCAATTTCTCTTATTTAATTCAGTAATGTACTAATGTTTGAAGTTAAAGTTCTTTATCCCCTTGAGGTAAATAACCCTGCAAAATGGTTTTATTTTTATTTATTTATTTTATTGTAATTATTTTTTGAGACAGAGTCTCGTTATGTCACCCTCGGTAGAGTACTGTGGCATCACAGCCCACAGCAACCTCAAAAACTCTTGGGCTTGAGTGATTCTCTTGCCTCAGCCTCCTCAGCCTGCCACAACACCCGGCTATTTTTTGTTGCAGTTGTCATTGTTGTTTAGCAGACCCAGGCCAGGTTTGAACCTGCCTGCCCTGGTGTATGTGGCCAGACCCTAACCACTGAGCTATGGGCACTTTAATTTAGGGTTATTTCTTTTTCTAAAAGTAGAATCACTGACTTAGAAGGAAGGAGCAAATTTTAAAAACACATTTTTCAGTAGTATTTTTTAATCTAGTCTTTTAAGTAGCCCTAGTGATTTCATATGTTGCAGTTATATTAAGCTATCTCTCTCCCCACCCCCTGCCCCATTTAGGGGTGGAGATTGGATCTTGCTATATTGCCCAGGCTGTTCTTTTTTTTTTTTTTTTTGAGACAAAGTCTCAAGCTGTCACCCTCGGTAGAGTGCCATGGCATCATAGTTCACAGCAACCTCAAACTCTTGGGCTTAGGGGATTCTCTTGCCTCAGCCTCCCAAGTAGCTGAGACTATAGGTGCCTGCCACAATGCCCAGCTATTTTTTGGTTGTAGTTGTCATTGTTTGGTAGGCCCAGGTTGGATTGGAACCCACCAGCTCCGGTGTATGTGGCTGTCACCCTAGCTGCTGAGCTACAGGTGCCGAGCCTTTATTTTATTTTATTTTTGCAGTTTTTGGCCGGGGCGGGGCTCAAACCCACCACCCCTGTAAATGGGGCTGGTGCCCTACTCCTTGAGCCACAGGTGCCGCCCTTTTTTGTTTGTTTGTTTGAGGCAGAATCTCACTCTGTCACCTGGACAGAGTGCCACGGTGTCATAACTCACAGCAACCTCAAACGCCTGGGTACAAATGATCCTCCTGCCTCAGCCATCTGAGTAGCTGAGACTATAGGCATCTGCCACAGTGCTTGGCTAGTTTTTTCTATTTTTGCTAGAGATGGGGTCTTGCTCTTGCTCAGGATGGTCTCAAGCAATCCACCTAATTTGGCCTCCCAGAGTGCTAGGATTACAAGCATGAGCCACTGCACTCAGCTGTTAATAAGTTTGTAAGTGCACTCAGCCATTAATAAGTTCGCAAGTTTGACAATAACACCCTTTGACATAACACCCTTTGGGCATTTTATGGTAATTTGTTGCAGTTACAGATGAGCCTTCTTTTCTGATAGTGTTTTCAGAGTGGTCAGTGTTGATGTGCAGAGAGGCTATCAGTCTGAAAATGTCCTGTGTCCTGATACTTGGCTGAGCTGTTCTATTCCACGGTGCTTCCCAGCTTATCTCTTACACTCTCTAAGTCTCCAAGTGTGTTCTTCACAGACAGTCCCTGTGCGCAGGGTGGCTGGCAGGTGCACTTCTGCCCGTGTTCCTGACTCAGCTCCTGCTCTCGCCTCAACCCTTGCGGGGCTCCCTCAGGGACAGGTAGGAGGCAGCTCAGGGAGGACAGTGCACTGGCCAGTGCTGGGAGCAGTCCTTCCAGCTCCTAAATGTTAAAGACAAAAAAGATTGAGAAAATGAGTCATTTAGCTCAACTTTTATGACCATGTTTCTGTCTGTATGAAAGGTGGTGACCCCCCCACCCCCCAGCTTTTTTCTGGGCTCGTCAATGGGATCTTACTGCACAGCACAGCTGCTGGGCTCAGTGGCAACCCTGTCTCTCACCTTGTCTGTCCCCAGTGTATGTCTGGATACAGTTTTGTGCGGTTATTTCTGGATTCTACTTTCCCAGGAGCCTGGCTAGGATTTCTTTTCTGGGGGTTGTCTTGTGGGAATTTGATACCAGAGTTCTGGCAAATTTTGAACCTTAAAAGAGCATCTTTTAATTTTCCCATTGTATTTATGATTTTGTCTGTATGATTCAGGGATGATGAATTGTCTAGAAACTTGGCAGAGCTTGCCCCAAACCACCTGGACAGCCCTTTGGAGATAACTATTTTATACCTTTTAGATGTTTCTTCTTTTTTACTGGTTCATTTAAGTTTTCTACTTCTGAAGTCATTTTTGTTGTTGCATTTTGGCCGGGGCCGGGATTGACCCCACCACCCTCGGTATATGGCACTAGTGCCCTACTCACTGAGCCACAGGGGCTGCCCCCTACTTCTGAAGTCATTTAAAAGTAATGTCTGGGGCAGCCCCTGTGGCTCAGTGGGTAAGGTGCCGGCCCCATATACCGAGAGTGGCAGGTTCAAACTTGGCCCTGGCCAAACTGCAACAAAAAAATAGCCGGGTGTTGTGGTGGGTGCCTATAGTCCCAGCTACTCGGGAGGCTGAAGCAAGAGAATCGCCCAGGAGTTGGAGGTTGCTGTGAGCTGTGTGACGCCATGGCACTCTACCAAGTGGGACAAAGTGAGACTCTGTCTCTGCAAAAAAAAAAAACACACAAAAAAAGTAATGTGTGGCTAGGTACAGTGGCTCACACCTGTAATCCCAACACTTTGGGAGGCTGAGGCAGGAAGATCACTTGACAGCAAGAATTTGAGAGCAGCCTGGACTACATAGTGTGACCCAGTTTCTACAAAAAATAAAATTACCCAGACATGGTGATGCATGCCTGGGTAGTCCCAGCTACTAGGGAGGCTGAGGTAGTAGGAGCACTTGAGCCCTAAAGTTTGAGGTTACAGTGAACTATGATTGCACCCTGCATTCCAGCCTCCATGGGAGAGAGAAACCGTGTCTCTGAAAAAAAAAAAAGTAATTTTCCAGAAGATACTTTTTAATTAAAATTTTAAATTAAGATATGATAGTGTACAATTGGATCTTAATTAAAAATTAAGCTTCTGGTAGGAGGCTATGGGGGCTTCAAGAACTGACTGGGCCTCCCATGTGGGCAGGAGGCCACACACTGATGACCTAGTTTCTTTTGAATCTTTTTTCCCTTTTGGAAAACATTTTTGGGGGCAGATTAGTTGGTTCCTTCAGAGGAACATTTTAAGATGTAATTTTTTTTTTTTTGAGACAGAATCTCACTCTGCCTCCCTTGGTAGAGTGCAGTGGTATCACAGTTCACAGCAACCACCAACTCTTGGGCTTAGGTGATTCTCTTGCCTCAGCCTCCCGAGTAGCTGGGACTCCAGGTACCCACACCCGCCGCAATGTCCAGCTATTTTTGTTACAATTGCCACTGCTGTTTTAGCTGGCTGAGGTTGGGTTGGAACCTGCCACCCTCGGTATGTGGGCCGGCTCCCTCCCACTGAGCCACAGGCTCTGCTCTGGATGTAATTTTTTGATATAGATCTTAACACCATTTCTTCTATATATGTTTGCTTTATTGCAAGGAGAATAAACTTAAAATAGATTGAACTAATTAAACTTAGAAAGAGATTTCATAAGAAGAGGTAAATCAACGTGACTAGGAGTCAGTGTGCTGTGCCTGGGCTCAGCAGCCAGGTCTGGGAATACTGCGTGCTGCAGAGGGCATGGGAGCAGGAGCTGGGGGTGGGCACAGACTTCCTCTGTGGTTTCAGAAAGCAAGGAATGAGAAACACACACACCCAGGCCCATGCAGGTGTATCTTGCAGGGGATGCCTGAGGAACGAGGAGGCACCTTAAGAAGGCTAGTTACAGCTTTGCTTTCACAAAACCTGGAAAGAGCCCCAAATCCACCAGTAAGACAAAGCATAAAAAGTCACTTTGTGAGTGTATGTGTGCCCAGTGTGCACGTGTGCCAGGAAATAGGTAAACAGAGTAGCTACCAAATGACTCAGCATGGAGAAATCTCAGATAATGTTGCAGCAAAAAGTTCTGTGCAGAATAAAATGTATGGGATGACACATTTACATGTGTATAAAATTTAAAAAGCATATAGCAGAGTATGGCACATGGGGTGTGCTTGCTTGCTGGGCCTGTGAGCAGAAGCAGGTGCTCCCCTTGGGCAGGGCAGGTGCCCGGGGCCACTTCACCCATGTCCAGGAAAGGCCTGGAGAGGAAAGAGGAGGTTCTGGAGCCAGGGGTACAGTGACTGGAATCAGAGCTTGGGGTTGGGCGTGGAGGGTTCCTTAAGGTGCTTTCAGCCTTCCTTGGGACATCTCAGGAGCACCAACCTGAGCGCTTGCCCCTTTCCTCTCTGTCACAGCTCCAGATTTTGGAAGGTTCACCAGCGTCCCCGACGTGCCCTCCCAGCTGCAGACATCCTCCCTGGAGGACCTGCTATGCTCGCACGCCCCCCTCTCCAGCGAGGATGACAGCTCCCCAGGCTGTGCAGCCCCCTCCCCGGCACCCTTCAAGGCCTTCCTCAGCCCTGCGGAGCTGCGTGTCCCCCGAGGTGCCGAGGGGACGCTGTCTCCGCTCCTGAGCCCCTTGCAGAACTCACTGGTGGACAAGACCTTGCTGGAGCCCAGGGGACTAGTGCGGCCCAAGAAGGTATGCTTCTCAGAGGCCAGCCTGCCCGCCGGGGACAGGCCCAGGAGGAGCTACTACCTCAATGGTATGTGGTGCAGGGTGCGGAGGCCTAGTGCACAGGGGGTGGGGTAAGATGGGGGCCAGGGCCAAGGCCAGGGTTGTGTCTGTGCTAACCTTTTGCCCATCTTTCCCCCCCAAATGGGTCACTTATCTTCTTGGGGAGCTTGAGGTAGTTCTTCATGTATTCTGGACACAGGTCTGTTTGGGGATGTGTTTTGCTTACTGGGGCTCCGTCTATGGCTTGCTCATTTTAACAATGATGTTTAGGAGAAGGGAGGGGCCTGTACCCAGGGGGCCTTCCTTGTGAAGCACATGCAGAGGTTACACTGGCTGCATACAGATTGCAACAATCCAGCTAAAATGTCTCTGTGGAAGACACTGTGATTCTTTTTTTTTTTTTTTTTTGGCTGGGGCCATGTTTGAACCCACTACTTCTGGTATATGGGGCTGGCGCCCTACTCCTTGAGCCACAGGCACTGCCCGACACTGTGATTCTTAAAGTAAACTGTCAAATGTGACCTGTAGGTTATCAGATGTCTATTCAAATTATCTATTTTTCTGTGTCTTTTAAAGAACTAGCCCATCTCACCTAAGTTGTCAAATTTATTGGCATAAAGTTAATCCTAATATTTCCTTTTTATACTTTTAATGTCTGTAGGATCTCTGGTGGGGTCATCTCTAACTTCTGATAGCAGTAATTTTTGTCTTCTTTCTCTCTTTCCCTAAGTCTTTCTAGAGATTTATCCATTGCATTGACTTTTTAATTTCAAGAGTAGATTTTTGGCTGGATCTTAGAGGGCCCAGGTTAGACTAGAAATCATTTCTACAACAGTTCAGGTATTGCATATTTCTTCTGATTACTTTAGGTTTTAGAGAAGGGAGGGGGAAGACTCCTGATCAGAGAGATGCATCAGTACAGAGGAGTTGTACCTCTTCCTCCATGCTCATTGCCCCAACACCCCGAGTGGTGCATCTGCATCTCATCCTTAATCCCTGCTGCCTTCCACAGTCTTCCCAAGTGATTGGGAAAGAAATATACCAGAAACTACAGAACATTGTTGAAAGAAGTTAAAGAATCCCTAAATAAATAAATAGAAAACTTTTTTTTTTTTTTTTTTTTTTTGAGACAAGGTCTCACTCTGTCAGGTACAGAATGCCGTGGCATCATCATAGCTCACAGAAACATCAAATTCCTGGGCTCGGGCTATCCTCTTGCCTCAGCTTCTCGAGTAGTTGTGACTACAGGTGCCTGCCACCACACCTGGATGGTATTTTTTATTTTTAGAAGAGATGTGGTCTCACTCTTGCTCAGGCTGGTGTTGAACTCCTGAGCTCAAGCAATGCACCTTCCTCAGCTTCCCAGGGTGCTGAGATAATAGACATGAACCACTGTGCCTGGCAGAAAAACATCTTGTTTCTTCATGGATCAGAAGACTTTAATATCAGAGTGTCCAACATGTTGGCTTCTTTGTACCACAGTGGAAGAATAAGAATTATCATGGCCCATGCATTAAATACATAAACACTAATAAAAAAAAGATTTGTGTATAATTTTCAAGATATCTACCACCACAGATAAGCCAAAAAGTCCTAATAATCCTATTTAGGCAGTACCCGACTTGGAGCCTTTTAAAATCATTGAGCAGGTCTCAAGTTTGTGATCACTAAGATAGAGAGTATATGTGTCTAAGTAATAAAATCTCTCTCTTTTTGACTTTTTTATTATAAAAGCAAAAAAAAAAGTGGACAATATAAAACTAGTGGGATATGACATTGTATCTGAGAAACTAATGCATCAATATCTGGTTTGATGGAAGTAGCTGCAATTCTCAGTGAGTTCTCAAGGTGCTCATCAGATATTTTGGTTCTAATTTTACTCTTAATATGCTTCATTCTGGGAAATAGTTGCTCACAAATGTAGATGCTGCCAAAAAGTGATAACATGAATAAGGCATGATTATAAAGCAAGGGATATTTGTCTCTGGGAAGACAGGACCTATTAAAAAAAGGCTAACAAAGAGACATGATTAATTTTTTCTTTAAGTTGACTGTCAAATTACAGCTCAATGCATTCCATTTGAAAATTGAGAGTTAACATACTTTAATCGGCTGAAAATGGAGTTGCAAATGTACCAAATACTAATTTTTTTTCTAGAAATCTTGAAATCTGTTTTCAAATTCTTGTATCAAATTGAAAAGCAAGGCTGCATATTTTTTTGCTGTTCACAGGATTGTTTTTAGCCAATGTGCGGAAATGCATAAAACTGTTTGCCTTAATTTGAGCTTGCCATAATTTCAGTTTCATTTGGAAGGCTGTTATGGTTTGAAACATTGTATTGATAAATTGATTTTCACCTGGAAGGTGCATGTTTAACTCATTTAAATGAGTGGTTAAATCCACTAAAAATGCTAAATCTGTAAGCCAGTTTTCATCATTAAGTTCAGACACAAATTTGGGTTTTGATACTATAAATGACTTGACAACTTGTCACAAATCAGAAAATCTTTTCTATATTTGGCCTTGACTTAGTGCTCTTATTTCTTGTTTTTTCCTCATTGACAATTAAAAAAAATTTTTTTTTATTGTTGGGGATTTCTTGTAACAAGAAACCCGGTTACATTGATTGCATTTGTTAGGTAAAGTCCCTCTTATAATTGTGTCCACCCCCAAAAGGCAAGTCACAAACCGAGACCCACACCTCCCTCCCTCATTCCCTCTCTCCCCCTCCTCCCAGCTTCCCTCCCTCTCCCCTTCCCCTACCCCCCACCATATACTAGGTCATCAAGTGTCCTCATAAGAAAATTGAGTACATAGGATTCTTGCTTCTCCGTTCTTGTGATGCTTCACTAAGAATAATGTCTCCCACTTTCATCCAGGTTAATACAAAGGATGTAAAGTCTCCATCTTTTTTAGTGGCTGAATAGTATGTCATGGTATAGATATACCACAGCTTGTTAACCCATTTCTGAGTTGATGGGGATTTAGGCTGTTTCCACATTTTGGTGATTGTAAATTGAGCTGTGATAAAGTGCAAGTGTCCTTACAGTAAAATTTTTTTCCTTCTGGGTAGATGCCCAGTAATGGGATTGCAGGATCAAATTGGAGGTCTAGCTTGAGTTCTTTGAGGGTTTTCCATACTTCCTTCCAAAAAGGTTGTATTAGTTTGCAGTCCCACCAGCACTGTAAATGTGTTCCCTTCTCTCCACATCCATGCCAGCATTTGCAGTTTTGAGGTTTTGTGATGTGGGCCATTCTTGGTGGGGTTAGATGGTATCTCAGGGTGGTTTTGATTTGCATTTCTCTAATAATTAGGGATGATGAGCATTTTTTCATATGATGGTTAGCCATTTGTCTGTCGTCTTTAGAGAAGATTCTATTCATGTCTCTTGCCCATTGATATATGGGATTGTTGGCTTTTTTCATGTGGATTAATTTGAGTTCTCTATAGATCCTAGTTATTAAGCTTTTGTCTGATTGAAAATATCCAAATATGGCTCGGCGCCTGTGGCTCAATCGGCTAAGGCGCCAGCCACATACACCTAAGGTGGCGTGTTCGAATCCCCAGCCTGGGCCTGCCAAACAACAATGATGGCTGCAACCAAAAAAAAAATGCCTGGTGCTATGGCGGGTGCCTGTAGTCCCCGCTACTTGGGAGGCTGAGGCAGGAGACTCGCTTGAGCCCAGGAGTTGGAGGTTGCTGTGAGCTGTGATGCCATGGCACTCTACCCAGGGGGATAGCTCCGTCCAAAAAAAAAAAAAAAAAAAGAAAAAAAAGAAAATATCCAAATATCCTTTCCCATTGTATAGGTTGTCTGTTTGCTTTGGTGGTTGTCTCCTTAGCTGTACAGAAGCTTTTCAGTTTAATTAAGTCCCATTTGTTATTTTTGTTGTTAGTGCAATTGCTACAGAAGTCTTCTTCATAAAGTCTTTTCCCAGGCTGATATCTTCAAGTGTTTCTCTATGCTTTCTTTGAGGATTTTTATCGTTTCATGACTTAAATTTAGGTCTTTTATCAATGTTGAATCAATTTTTGTGAGTGGAAAAAGGTATGGGTCCAGTTTCAGTCTTTTACATGCGGATATCCAGTTCTCCAAGAACCATTTATTGAATAGGGATTCTTTCCCCCAGTTTATGGTCTTGTTTGGTTTATCAAAGATTAGGTGGCTGTAAGATGTTAGTTTCATTTCCTGGTTTTCTATTCGATTCCAAATGTCTATGTCTCTATTTATGTGCCAGTACCATGCTGTTTTGACCACTATGGCCTTGTAGTACAGCTTAAAGTCTGGTATGCTGATGCCCCCCCAGCTTTGTTTTTATTACTAAGAACTGCCTTAGCTACATGGGGTTTTTTATGGTTCCATACAAAACACAGAATTATTTTTTCCAAGTCTTTAAAGTGTGATATTGGTATTTTAATAGGGATGGCATTGAATCTATAGATTGCTTTGGGAAATATAGACATTTTAACAATGTTGATTCTTCCCAGCCATGAGCATGGTACATTCTTCCATATGTTAATATCCTCTGCTATTTATTTTTTTAGGGTTTCATAATTTTCTTTATAGAGATTCTTCACCTCCTTTGTTAGGTATATTCCTAGGTATTTCATTTTCTTTGAGCTATGGTGAAGGGGGGTGTGCCCTTAATTAGCCTCTCATCTTGGCTATTAATGGCGTATACAAAAGCAACTGACTTGTGGACATTGATTTTATATCCTGAAACATTACTGTATTTTTTGATGACTTCCAGGAGTCTTGTGATTGAGTCTTTGGGATTATCTAAGTATAATACCATAACCTCAGCAAAGAGGGAGAGTTTGACCTCCTCTGTGCCCATTTGGATGCCCTTTATTTCCTTCTCTTGCCTAATTGTATTGGCTAGAACTTCCAGCATTATGTTGAATAGTTGTGGTGATAGAGGACAACCTTGTCTGAGTTCTCTTATTTCTGAAAAGTAAATGGCATCGCCATAGTCAGCATCAATACTTTTCAGGAATTCCTGGAAGTGGCAATGACTCAATCCCTTATGAAATTCACAGTCTTGGTGATGATTTGCATGATGTTATTGATGTTATCCATTTTTAAAGCTTTTGAGTATAAATTTTCTTGATGTATTATATAGTGATACTTCATCAAATGTGAGTTTTGTATGGCAATTACTTCATCTTCTACTTTCTAAGTCCCTCTCTTATACCAACTATCGCTGGGGCACCATCAATAACTATACCAGATATGTTGACAATGGACAAAGAAAATCACTTTGGCATGGTCCCAGCTACTTGGGAGGCTGAGGCAGGAGAATTGCCTAAGCCCAAGAACTGGAGGTTGCTGTGAGCTGTGATTCCACGGCAACAAAGTGAGACTATCAAGGGCAACAAATTGAGACTCCGTCTCTAAAAAAAAAAAAAAAAGAAGAAAAGAAAAGAAAAAAAGAAAATCACTTTGGCATATGTTTTTACTGCTTCTTATATATCTCTTGATTTAGCTGTGTGTTTTAATGGTGCTAAAGAAGCTATTTCTTCAGTGATCTTGATACTATGTGTCATCAATACCTCTAATAAAAATGGCAAGTCATATTGTACCATCAGTGCTATCATTCCTCACCAAAGTATAAAATTTAAAATTAGGAGCTTTACTCTTCAAACTCCTTTTGATAGATTTTCCAATTTCTTCAATTCATCTGGCTATCAACTGGTGAGACAAGTTGATTTTAGGAATATTCCTCTTTTTTCAAGGCAAATTATATCCACCATGCTTTCTTTTTTTTTTTGAGACAGAGCCTCAAGCTGTCACCCTGGGTAGAGTGCCATGGCATCACAGCTCATAGCAACCTCCAACTCCGGGGCTCAAGCGATTCTCTTGCCTCAGCCTCCCAAGTAGCTGGGATTACAGGTGCCCGCCACAATGCCTGGCTATTTTTTGGTTGCAGCCGTCATTGTTGTTTGGCAGGCCAGGTTGGATTCAAACCCTCCAGCTCAGGTGTATGTGGCTGATACCTTAGCCACTTGAGCCACAGGCACCGAGCCCCACCATGCTTTCTATACATTGCTTAAAGAACCATCAGTAAATGGTTTAAGTTTTTTTGCTATTAAATATGCTACCACATAACCAACTTTTTTTTTTTTTTTTTTTTTTTTT